TATATTGACGCATTCTCAGATTATGCCAACTTCAAGTAAGAGGCGACGAGGGCCCACGGACAGGAGACTTGCCTTTAATATTTTGTAATATTCTGTTTTGTTAATATACCCAAAATTGTGTATATATCTTATAACTGTTTTAGAAATTGGTACATAGGCTTCTATTACCTATTAGGTGGAGATTTTATATGTAAATGTGTTAGCCCTGATAGTCCTTTTTCCAATGTTTTATTGGGGAATTAAATAGTGTGATGTTTGGATTGATATCGTGACATACTCAGCCTGGAAATTGGGCAGGATTGTTCTTTGGTTTATACACCTTTTCCTAAAGAAGATAAACACAAAATCCATTCCAGGTAGCTCAGCACCAACTAAGAAAAAAAGCACAAAGTTCTTGGAGCTCTTGAGGAAAGTGGTTGTCCCAGTACCCCCATGCACTGTAAATATCCCTCCCCTCTTCAGCCCCACCCCATTCTCCCACAGCCTACATCCCAGCATAACACTGCGGGGCATAACGGGACCAGAGCGGTATCTCTGGCACCACACTAGGGATTATCAGGTAATAAAAGCTTTGACTCCCTAAGGAAATGTCTCCCTTTGTCTGGGGTGGGGCAGCCATACAGGGCTGGGTTCTCCTAGGCTGCTCCTGGTCCTGCCATTGCTGTTCTCTCGCAGCTGGCCGAGAGATCACCCAGTCCCTCCTTTCCATCCAGCTCAATCCCCCAGCTCTTAGAAAATCACCAGGACCCTCTTCTTATTCCCAGCACATCTTTGGTGCCATACTCCCAGCCAACCTCGTTCCCTGGGGAAGATGGTGAGGGTCCTCACTGAGTTTCCCTAAGCGAGGGGCACAGGGCAGAAAGAAGCTGGCTTGGCTCTGGGGCTGAGGCCGGTCTGACTTCTCCAAATCTTCAAGTCCACACTTACTATGTTAAATAGCTTCCACTTCCTTTCATGCGTTTCATTTCCAGGACTTTTATGTGGAAGTATATCACAGATCCAGAAGCCAGATGGTGGGAGTCTTAGATCCCAACTTGGTTTTGAGCCTGACATGTTAGACAAAAGTGTCAAACTTTTGTGCCTTAAATTAGGTGGTTTTTCACTTATTTCTCATGTAACACTCTACCCTGTCCAGAGGGCCAGTGTCCTTCCATCTTCAGGCCCCAATATTCTTAGGTTATTCTCATCTTCATGTTGAAGATGGGTCGCGGCTATAACCTAGTCATATGCCACACTTAACTGCAGGGGTGCTGGGAAATGTGATCTTTAGTCGGGGGCACATTTGGGAGGGCAGGTCTGTCCACTGCCTCCTATCCTCATGAGCAGCTCATCATGGGAGCAGGAGTCTAAACTGGCTGTTGTGGCAGAGCTCTGATGGCTCTCAGGCCTTTCTTGAAGAGCCAGGGCAGACCCTGGACTCCTTAGAGGCTTCAGGAGTGAGAAATTGTACCCCAGCCTCATCCATGGAGGCACACTCAAGAGGCCATTGCTGCTGTGCTGCTTGGAGGTGCGGGGACTTGAGCAGGACCTGAGGGATGCTGGAGATTTAGATGAGAAGAAGGGAGGAAAGGTCAAGTGGAGCCACATCACAGGGGGCCTTAGAGTCCAGGCAAAGCAGTAAACACATAGTGGCTCCAGTAGGGGTGCCAGTTGTGCACCACATATTCAGGATGTTAATGGAAGGAAGGGACCCAGGAGGCCTGTGGGAGCCAGGGGTGCAACAACGGACCACTTCTGTAAGCTTGCAGGAGGTGAGTGGAAGTCATTAGAGTCACTCAGTCCTTCCTTAGGAACTTAGGAACTAAGGAACTAGGCAGTAAACTCAAAACTGAAGTTTTGAAAGAAGCATGGGCCATGCTCAGACCTCACTTCACCGAGTTGCTCCCTCCTAGGTTGCAGTTTCCTTCATCACCCCCCTCCCAAATATTCAAATCTCTTTAAAAAAAAAAAAGCATTTCCCCCAGTACTAAGTTCTTCCCCCTTCATCACAGACTTCTTGAACATGTCTGTGCTCTGACTCTTTCTTCTTCCTCACTTCATTCCCACATGTTCCTTGGTGCTAACCCCAGGAGTCCATCGTCTTTCTGTCCACTAGCTGATCCCCTCGGTGTTAGTGACTCTCCTGACTTTTATCCTCACCCTTTAGCTGCTCCTCCACGGTCTCCTTAGAGGTTGGGGTTTCCAAGTCTGTGTGGACCCTCAGCTGTGCTCCAACCCCAACACCCCCAGCTCTGGGTCCTGCTTCCTGCCAAGTCATTCCACCAGGGTGCTTCAGAGGCATCTGTCTCACTCCCCACACCAGGGCTTCACCCAGTCCTTTGGGTTCCACCTCAGTCTCTCCAAAGCCCACTGTTCTTTCCTCCAGCCCTCCAGCATTCTGCCCCCCTGCCACTCCTCAGCCCCACAGCTCCACCGGTGGTTCCTATGGCCCTTCTCCGTTTTGTTCCTTATGCTGGGGCATGCCACTGCTGCCATGCCCAGTTTCCACGACTCTAGCTAACTTGTCTTCATCCTTCTCTCCGGGCCACGTGCTCAGGGCTTGTGCCCCTCTGTGCTCTGGCAGCACCTGAGTTTTTGTTTCGCTCTAAAGCTCTGCTTTCCCAGCTGACTGCAAGCAGCTCCCAGCTGGAATGATTTTGTATCCTCAGGACCAAGCATTGGTTGGAACTCAGTGGTGAACAAGCAGCTTTCCATGTTCTGCTGAGAGGGACACAAGGATGAATCCCAGAGTGGATAGCTGTAGAGGAACGTCTGCAACTATCCTGAAAAGCTAAGTATGTTGCCAGAAAGAAAGGGACCAGAGCTTTCACTTGGGAGCTTAGTGTACTGGTTTGAGTTTCTCAGGAAAAACCATAATCAAATTACAGAAAAAATAAAGACACCCCATTCCTCTTTTAAAATTAAACACCAAGGACTTTGAATAAAACATTAGGTAAATCCAAACCAGAACTAAGCTAGTTTATTGAACTCAAAGTTATTTTACTAAATCACAAAGCAGATGTTTTCCTAAAAATCACCCGGTTAACAACGTCTGTATTTCCCCAAACAATGTAACTGAACATACAGTCCGTACATTCATTTTAGGTTCCTGCAAATAAGTCAACTTGGAAATTCACAGGTGTGCCCATCCTGCCTGGCAGCTGAAGTACAGGTACCCAGGACACTGTGGTGCCCATTATGCCTCCCCTCCCTCATCCTTGTCACAGGATTTGACGCACCTGCTCTGCCAATGACTCTGTTCACTGCAATGCCAAGTCTGGCCTTGGCTCTCACATTTGCTGTTGTGCTGAAATGTGGAGATTGGCTATTAACCCTGTAGACAGGCCTCTGACACCTGGAGGCTGATGGCTGGAGGTGGGAAGCTGAGATGCTGACGCAAGCTGAGAGACAAACAGCCCCGGCTAGCTGTGTCCAAATCCACAAATGATCCCAGGGTGGGATCATTGAGCACAGGGTGGAGAGGGGTTAGAACCTTGAAGGACAAAATTATTCTACCCCTTGCTCATAGCCCCAGGGAGGCTGCAGTGCCCCTTCAGCCGGGCCCTCTCTCATGAAGAGAGGCCACTCCTGGCTAGGTACTGTTCCCTAAAACCCACTTCCATCTGGAATGACCCAGCCCTAGTGCCCAGGTGTGTGGATACAAACTATTCCACCCTATCCATTTTACAGGTGAGCAAACAAGCCCTCAAGGAGGGTGGCAAGACCTCTACAGGCTGCTGGGATCCCCACTCTTATGCCCCTACTTTTCCATTGGGGAGAGCCATGAGCTGGGTGGGAGTCTGGGAATCCCCAGGCATTGCCTCTCCGCAGTGCCCTTGAGGCCACAATTTCCCTTTTGGGCCAGGAAGGGCAGTGAGGCCTTTAGAGACCTCAAGGGCAGGAACTTGAGGATGCAGCCTGCGATGTGGGAAGGTGAGACCAGGACGTGAGCCAGCCTGGAGCAGGAGTCCTGTGACTTCAGACCTCTGGGAAGATGGGGTGGAGGCAAAGCATCTGTCTGGTGACCACAGGGCCAGTGGCTGCCTAGTGGGTGCTCATGGAGTGGGAAGTGGGTTGGGTGGCAAGCTGCTCCCCTGCCCCTCTTTAAAGACGTCACTGGAGCCTGTGGGCCTGGAAGCGGGGGTGGACCCGCCTGGTCAATAAATCCTGGGGTTGTCTGGCTAGGGTCTGGCAGCGCCTGAAGGAGCCACCTCATCCACAGCTCTTCCTCGGTGAGTGAGGAGGCTGCCCTCCCTAAGAGCTGGGGCTCCTGGGTCGAGCTCCACCTTGGGTGCATGGCGCCCTGCCCTTCTTCCCTCCACCTCAAACTCCTATACCCCTTCCCCCCTCCCAAACTCCTCCACCCCTGAACCTTATCCAGAAAAGCCCCCTTCCCCTCTTCTTTCCCAGACAGCCTTACTATCTATTGCTGTGCTTGCTGCCCCTGGCATGGGAGAAGCAAGAGGTAGAAGCACTTGCTCCTGCCACCACAGCACACCCGTTCCACATCCCCATCTACCACGGGAGAGATGTGGTGGGCCACAGAGAAAAGGGGCAGAGGGCCTGCCACTCTAGTTCCCTAGCACCGGCTGCCCTAAATACCCCCACATTGCTGTCTGTCTCATGGAGAACTCCCCTGACCATCCATTCGTCCACCCATCCACTGGCCTGAAGTCTCTTCCCCTCTTGAACCTTCTTCCACTTCTGGAACTCCCTGAAGGAAGGAGGGATGGGAGAGTCCTCAGAGCTTGGCAAGGTGGGATAGCCTTTGTGCCCCAGGGCTCTGGGAGAAGGCTAGTCCCCTGGAGCATCCTCCCCTGGGCTGGGCCAGGACCTCTTAGGGTCTGGACCCCTGCAGACCTGGGATGAAGAGGAGTGGCAGAAAGGGAAAGGCATTAGGATACAGGAAAGCTGTCCCTGAGGTGCCAGTTGTCTAAGGTGACCCTGGAGGAGGAGGAAGGGCGTATATTTGGTAGCGTCAGACTCTTTAAGTGCTGTCTACTCCACACAGCAACCCTGCCATGGCCAGCTCCAGACTGGGCCTTCTGCTACTGCTGCTGCTGATGATGGCCGTCCACCCTGGACATTCAGAGGCTTAGCACTGATCCCATGACTGGTACCCTGGAGGAAAGCGAGCCTCTAGCTCAGCCCAGGACCCTTAGAGTGCCCTTAAGCCCCCAGGTGGGCGATGGGTTTCCCCAGCCAAAGGGGGAGGAAGAAGGTCCTGGCTGGGGCTCCTCCACCTACCCTGAGCCAGGGTTGGGGGTAGGGAGGACAGGCTGCAGCCTCAGTTCCCTTCTGAGGAAGGGTCCTGGACACTGCAGCAGGTAGCCCAGCCCATACTGCCCATGGCCTCCCAAGCGATGCCCTGGCTGCCCCGGAGGACAGTGTGCCCTGGGAGGGCCAGACTGTGGCCTGATGTTTCCTCCACAGGAAGCAGCACCTGGTGAGTGGGGTGAGAGGCTCCCAGCATTCAAAACCAGCCACTGGTCACCAGTGGCCATCATGGCTTGGGATTGGGGAGGGCAGGGAATGAGACACCACTGCGATGCCCCCTGCCACAACACCCCCAGATGTTTCTCTGTGCTCCTGCTTCACACAAAGCGGGTGCCATCTGCCATCCTTCCTGTTTCCCGGGAGCATTCTACACAACTTATAAAATTGTGTTAGATTGAAGCAAAAGATTGGAAGTCACTAGTGGAGTAAGAGATAATTGTACTAAAAACTTCCATAAATTAAAAAAATAATATTAACAAGACAGTGGCTGCCATGGGGTCCCCCAGGCTTTTTGTTTCATCAAGCTGACATGTTCCAAGGTGGGCAGGCCCTTGGCTGGGGGGAAGAGGTGAGGGGTGCAACCTGAGACAAATAGGCAGTAGGGTCTGGAGGACCAGGTGGCAGCTGACATGTGCACCAGGAATGAAGGACTCAGTGACTCCCCAAGACTATGGTTTATTACTGTTTTGCAAATTGAACTTAAAGTGCACTAGGGGAGCACGATAGCTAAAGGAGAATGTAATAAGTTCCTATGAGGCAAAGCCTTGTCACCTAGTGTCAATGGGTGTGAACTCAGATTTTTACGTATCAGGTTTGGAAAATACACATTTTATACATACAGTATAACCGGCTGGAGATATGCTACGTATCTCCGGCATCCTGGCTGCTGGGTCCTCGGGTGCCTGTGGGTGGAGGGGCGCGTTTGGCTTGAGAAGAAGCTTGGGGAACCCCACAGCCGCCACTGTCTTGTTTTTTATTTATGGAGGTTAATACAATTATCTCCTTCTACTCCACCAGTAACTTCCGATCTTTTGTTTTAATCTAACATAAGTATTTAGACAACATAGGCCGCAGAGTGATCGGCTCCGGGAGGCCAGGTGGGGACAGGGAGGGAGGGTGCCAGGAAGGCGGCAGTTCGGCGGTCACATGACTAGAGTGTCACGTGAGGTGGCCGCCCCTCTCCCTCAGCCGACTGCAGCTCGAGCCCACCGCCCTCCAATTAAATGTGAGGTCTCCGAAGCTGTCTCAAGTTCTCTTTTATCTCCTCCCTCTCCCACCCCCGCTGAGACCCTTCCCCGCTTGGGGGCTGGAGGGACGCGGGCCGGCCTGGCTGGCGAGAGGGAGTGGCAGAAAGGGAAAGGCATTAGGATACAGGAAAGCTGTCCCTGAGGTGCCAGTTGTCTAAGGTGACCCTGGAGGAGGAGGAAGGGCGTATATTTGGTAGCGTCAGACTCTTTAAGTGCTGTCTACTCCACACAGCAACCCTGCCATGGCCAGCTCCAGACTGGGCCTTCTGCTACTGCTGCTGCTGATGATGGCCGTCCACCCTGGACATTCAGAGGCTTAGCACTGATCCCATGACTGGTACCCTGGAGGAAAGCGAGCCTCTAGCTCAGCCCAGGACCCTTAGAGTGCCCTTAAGCCCCCAGGTGGGCGATGGGTTTCCCCAGCCAAAGGGGGAGGAAGAAGGTCCTGGCTGGGGCAGCAGGCGGCCACTTCCGGCTCCCGGCGGCGTCTGGGCGGTGCGGGCCGCGGTGAGCGGAGTGGGTCATGCTGCGCGCGCTGAGCTGTCTGGGAGCGCGGCCCCCGTGCAGGCCCCCGGCCCTGCTGCTGCTGCTGCCCGCGCGCGGCCGCAAGAGCCGCCATGACCCGCCGGCCAAGTCCAAGGTCGGGCGCTTGGCGACCCCGCCCGCAGTGGACCCTGCGGAGTTCTTTGTGTTGATAGAGCGTTACCGGCAGTACCGCCAGACCGTGCGCGCCCTCAGGTGCGTGTAACGGAGGGGAGGTGGCCATCGGCGCCCTCAGGGGAGCGTGGGTGCGGGCGGGCGGAGAGGGCACAGACCTGAAGCGTGTCGCCGCCCAGGATGGAGTTCGTGTCCGAGGTGCGGAACAAGGTGCACGAGGCCCGATCCGGGGTCCTGGTGGAGCGCAAGGCCCTGGAGGACGCCGCCGAGCACCGGGAACTGATGGCCTGGAACCAGGCGGAGAACCGGCGGCTGCACGAGCTGCGGTGCGTGGGGCGAGAGGCGGGGTGAGGCGGGGCGGCCGGCCTGGGAGAGAGCCCGGCCCCGCTCAGCCCCGGCCTCTTGCCGCCCGCAGGATAGCCAGGTTGCGGCAGGAGGCGCAGGAGCGGGAGCAGCGGCAGGCCGAAGAGCAGGCCCGCCAGGCCCAAGAGGCGCAGGCCTGGGTGCAGCTCAAGGAGCAAGAAGTGCTGCAGCTGCAGGTGGGCAGCGGCTCCAGAGGGCGGGGCTCGAGGCCGCGGGCTCGGCTGGGGTGACAGTGGGCATTCTGGGCGTGCAGAGACTGAGAGAGACTTGGCAGAGGAGGATTTGGGAGAGAAGGGGAATGTAAGCAGGGTCCCTGGGAGGTGGTAAGCCGGTGTCTGGTGGAGGGATCCCGCGTGCCACAGGAATTTGTGTTTTGCCTTACAGGCAATAAAAGCCATTGAAGGGTTAAATTTTCTAGACTAGGGCTGTCAGGGGTGGGTCTTAAAAGCAGGGAGACCAGTTAGGAGTAGTGCAGTGATGAGATGAGGCTTGAATTAAAGAAATAGATTGCGAAGGACTAGTTTGAGAGAGAGAAAAAGGAGACCCGTTAACACTGAGGAGCTGATTCCTTGTGTCACAGCTGGTGCTTGGTGTTCTGGCTAAGGTGTCCTGCGGATGATTGTCTAAGAAAGAGGAATGTGGCAGCCTTGCCTGATGTTATTCCACAGGAAGGCCCTTGGGGCGCTCACAGAGGACCTGGGGTCCAGGCATCCTTCCCCCGGTGTGGGGGGTGGGGGGGTGGGGGGCTAGAGGCCAGGAGGCTACTGCACAGGCAACCATGTGCCAGAGTCTCCCATTCAGCTGGCCTTTTCTCTCTCCCAATAGGAGGAGGCAAAAAACTTTATCACCCGAGAGAACCTGGAGGCGAGGGTGGAAGAAGCATTGGATTCTCCAAAAAGCTACAACTGGGCCATCACCAGAGAGGGGCTGGTGGTTAGACCACAGGGCAGTGGCTCCTAGGGGCCCAGTAAGGACAGTGCCTGCCCAGGGACCATGTGTGTATGGGGGTAAGCCGGAATAAGCTTGAACCGGAATAAAGCAGTTGGTGTTCCTTATGAGGAAGACTCAGCCTTTTCCAGTGCAGCCTTTAAGTTCTGGCCTGTGCCCTCACCGCTTGGTCAGGAATTCCCAAACATGGTACTCTGTTCTGCTCCCATGTACAGCCTCAGCAGAGCACTTACCCTAGAGTGGGTTCATCTCACAGAGGATCAGACTGGGCAGCCAGGTCATCTGAAGATCATCAAGTCAAGTGGTTGGCAAATTACAGTCCGTGTGCCAAATGTGGCCTGCTGCCTGTTTTTTGTAAATAAAGTTTTATTGGCACTCAGCCACTCCCATTCACTGACTACACTGCAGTGGCAGAGATGAGTATTTGCAACAGAAATCATATGACTTGCAAAATCTAAAATACTAGTTTTATGATTTTTTAAAGAAAAAGTTTTCTGATCCCTGATCTGGGGCTGTAGGCTGGAGCAGTATCACCTGGTACCTGAACTACAGACTATTCATTGGCCAAGAGTCTTCTTCTGCTCCATCTGCGCTTTGCTGGCAGGGTCTGGTGTGTTCAAGATACAGAAAGTAAAGAGGAGGGCTGGTGGGTTCACTCACATGGTTAGATAGAGCATGATGCTGATGACACCAGGGTCAAGGGTTCAGATACCCCTACTGGCCAGCTGCCAAAAAAAAGCAAGAAGACCCCATTTCTTCCGGCGGCTCTTTCCATCCATGGTCTCAGTGACCCACATCTGCCCTGGCACCACAGCATCCTTGGCCCACCCACCAGATTGGTGCTGGCAGGGGAGGAGGCCTGGTTGACGGAAAGCATTATGAGCTCAGTGTGGCTTGGCAAGTGCTTGGACCAAACCCTGTGGATACTGGGAATATTTATGATTGAAGTTCACAAGGTTAAACAAGTGAGCATATAGATCCACAGCCCCTCTTCATGTTGCAGGTCCTCAGGCAACATCTGAGATGAGGTTGAAGAGGTGTTTCCCTGAGCCAGAGCTGCCCCTTTGCTGCCATTCACATGAACTCAAGAAAAAAACAGAATCTCAGCTTCAACCCAAGCAAAAGACAGAATCCCAAATTCTTTCCACAACTCCTACCTTGTAGGGAGGGCTGGGGACCCCCAAGAAATGAAAACCTTTTAGGAAATACGGGCAACTCATGTTCCAGGTGGAAGTAGAAATGGTGTCTTGCTCCCAGCCCCCACCAGGGCACTGCATCTCTGAGAGCCGGGGCCTCCCTCCTCCAGCTGTAACAGCTCTTCTCCCTGACACTGATTCTGGTCAGAGCACACTGGAGTCCCTGCTCTCAGGTGCTCAGCGCAGCTTGTGGGGTGAGAGCTTATGGGCATACATTGTGGACCATGGTTTGGCAACGTTCACATCCTCGGGCTTCGTTATGGGGAAGAATGGACCGTGTGGTCCCCTGCAGTGGAAGCCCTTGGTGAGCTTGTGTTAGGAAACCCAGTTTTATGTAATATTCTCCTTCCTGAACCTCCTTGTCTCCATCTTCCAGTTTTATTCTTTCCAAGTCTTCTTCACCAGGATCCAGACACAAGCTGTCTCTTCAGATAGAGGACGCAGTGTGATGCCTTCTTGAAGCTTTCTCTTTGGACTATTTCCTTTCACTTTTGTCCTTTATTGTCCTGTAAGTCCTTCATATTCACTATCTGCGGATACCAGTGTGTCATGTGGAGCCACCAGTGGAGTATGCTTCAGGGTTTTTATTCTTTACCCACAGCCATCTTGCTAGTGTAGGCACAAGTAGCATACTGGTACCTTCAGGGTTAACTTAGCCCAATCCTATCTGTACCCACTTCTAATGGATCATGGAATGCTGCTAGTGCATAGGTAGGTTATCAGATCCCACCCAGTCCAGGTTGCAGAGTTAGGTGGTGTCCCACTGTAGAAAGCCTTATCTCTGGCGGGACCCTGCGTAGTTCACCTGATGAGCATGGCCTTGCTCGAAAACACCAGGGTCTCTTCAGACTCTTGCCTCAAGTTCCAGATAGGCTTTGTGTCAGCTACAGACTTTTGCACTCTGCAGGGTAAGGGCCAGAGTTGCCAGAATCCTACTTCCACAGCCAGGACCATCTATAGAAACTTCTCTTGCTCAAAGCCCCACTTGTGGGTGTAGGTCTGGGGGCTACTCAGTAGATGCATTTGGAACAAAGCACCCAAATGCAAGTGTTTTTACCAAGATTTGAGGAGGCCCACCATGCTTAGTGCACAGTGAGGTAGACAGGGTGGATCAGGGCACAAGTGTAACTTGTGTTTCAGTCAGGAGAGGGGAGGTAAAGACCCCCAGGAACTCTGCTAGGTGGACAAGTTTTTCTCCCAAGAGTTATCTCCCCTATCAAGCACAGATGTTTTACCAAGACAGTGGGGATTCTTGTCCCTTCCAGTCCTCCAGGGTAAGCACCATGATGTCCTGGGGATGGGTGGGTGGTCAAGGTCTTAAGGATTAGGTTCTGCAAAACTAGAGTTGTTTGTTCGTCTCTTGGGCTGGGTGGTGAAGGTATACTGCTGTCAGGTGAAGGCAGACTGGTTGTAATGGTCCAAGTAGGTAAGAAAAGAGAAGAATGTATTTGCCAGATTAATAGGTGCTATGTGCCTCATTAATCTGCTCTGTCGAGGAGACCACACTAGGCCTGATTAAGCCTAGCCATTCCAAGTTTTTCTAGTATACTCCAAATTTTCTGCATGGAACACAGATATCCAATATGTCCTGAAATCTTTGGGAAAGTCCCCCCTGAACTTATCCTGTGATTATTTTCTTGACTCATAAAAACGGAGTTGAAACAGATATCTAGGAAATGAGTTGACTGCTGAAATAAAGGCAATTCTGGCAGGAAGACTAGCTTGGAACTGTTTTTCCTTCCCAAATAGGAAGTGAAAAGCAATATCACAACCCCAAAAACCTGAGACAGGCAGTCCTAGTGATGACACTGGTCATGTCCCCTGTTGAGTGCTTTAATGACTATTTCTTCAGCACAGGTAAGTGCCTAAAGTGAACATCCATATCAAGGAACAGAACACTGGTTAACCTCATGGTTCAGGTTACAGGACCTCAAGGTTAAGAACCTGTGAGAAAGAATCCCACTGTAGAGCCACATAAGGGCCCAGGAAAGTGACATAAAGAAGACTTGATCTGCATAATCTCCATTCTTATCAGTACTCCACGGTGGCCTGTGGGTCACAGATATCCAATAATCCTCCCCAAATGTTTGGGCATTTCCTCTGCTGAGGGTAAAAACACAAGAAGGCATTGGAGGTTTCTGGGAAGTTGTGTTATATTTCACACTTTTTTTTTTCTTTTGTTAATGTTGGCTACTGAGAAAGAGAAATAGTCTGGGAGTAGGATTTTGTGTCTGGGAAATCCGAAACAGATGTAAATGTCAACCATGGCTACTGTACAGCCTTCTGTCACTGCCAGAGCCAGAGCCTGCAGCTGCTTGAACTGCAGCACCTGTGCAAGAGCCCTGGAGCCTGTTCTCACCCACCACTGTGGTCGCTGCAGCTGTCAGAGGTGCCACAGAAACAGGGGAAAGTGGATTCACCCTTCCTCCGGCCCGAAGAAATCTTTCAGTGCTGGCTCCTAGATTATTGTCATAACCTAAGGGAAGCCAGCTAGCAAGGAAGTCTGGGAAATGGGGGTTGCAGGTTTCCAGCCTCCTATGGAGCTGAGAGCTACGGATAAGTACCAGTATAGCATCGATTTTTCAGAAGCACTGTTTCTCACAACTTAACAGTATTTAGAGAGGGATACGCAGATTGTTTCGTAGGGACTTTTTAAACAAGAAGAAATTTGAGACTAATATACAAGGGTACCTCAAAAAGGTCATGGAAAAATAGAATTAAAAGCATCGATTTTTCAGAAGCACTGTTTCTCACAACTTAACAGTATTTAGAGAGGGATACGCAGAATTGTTTCGTAGGGACTTTTTAAACAAGAAGAAATTTGAGACTAATATACAAGGGTACCTCAAAAAGGTCATGGAAAAATAGAATTAAAAGAATTTGAATCTTTCCATGAACTTTGTGAAGACCTCTCATATTTTGACAATTAGGGATTTATACTTTCTGAAATTCTGTAAAAATTATAAATAGCTACAACGATAGCATATCACTAGTTTGTTTTTTACCTGAAAAACATTCTGATCCTCTTAAATGTAACTTTTACTAAAAACAAATATAGTTTAATTTCAACTTTTAATAATAGACAAATTGTATTTGTGAAGAAGTTTTCATATAAAATATCTCCAAATTAACATTTGGCAAAAGTCAGCATTAAAATATATATTTTTGAAAACAGCAGTTTACAAGTAGTTGTTCTACATCCCTCTTGTCATCATCATCAGGATTGTCACTTCCTTGTGTGAGACACATGGTTTTTTTCCCTCTGAATATTTTATTGCTGCTTGAGACATTCAGCACTTAAAATTTTTTTTGAATAACAAATATCCAGTGTTTCATTTACTTCCTGAACTGGTGAAATTTAAGTTTGTGTTTGTTTTGGATGATCTTTGTAAATATATTAACTGCTGTTAAGGGGAAACACTGATTTGGAGGTGACTTGAGCTGACTGAGTCACACCTCTGGGCCTTCTGGGCTGTTTTGTGAGTTTATAGTAGGAATAAAATAAGACCATTAAAAAAAAAAATCCTCCCAGGGAGATGTGAGAATGTTTGCATGTTTGCCCCATCACTGCTTCTGCCCAGAGATCTGTATAAATGGATCAAAAAACAGAGAAAGCACCGTGAGAAGCTGCATAGCTTTGTACTTGCAAGCCTGGTACAATCTGCTCGGGTTTGAATCCAAGCTCCCCTTATTACTCCTTGAGTGTCTTTGGGAACATTTCTTAGTCTCTCTTTGTGCCTCAGTTTCCTCAATAAAATAGGAATAATACTGATATCTACCTATAAAATTATTGTGTCGATTAAATGAGAAATTTGTGTAAAGCTAAGCTCAGTGCCTAAGAGATAGTGCTCTATACATGTTAGATTTTTTTTTTTTAATGAAACTAGAGAATGGCTTCAAATTCATACCATGAACTAATAACTAAGAACAGAATTACTGCCAAATACCGTCAAATTGAAAGTGAATTAATTGCTGGAGAGGCCCAGCTCTTCCCTGCAGCTCCCTTTATCTCCAACAGAGGGCGGTCTCATAAAGATAGTGACAGGGCCTCAAAAAACGTTCCGTATAGGATTGGTAAATTTGACCACGTTATTTAAAACACAAGTGCAATAAGAAAGGAAGGACATCAAAAACCTAGCTAGTTGTTATACTCTCAGCCTCTCTCTGAAACCACACTGTCTCT